ATCATAATTCAACATTTGAAATTAGGAACTTGTTTACCTACCTACCCAATAAAAACATATTATTGTGATTATTTGGTAAGAACTTTTATCTCTTGTCATGAGACATCTCCTTCACAAGAAGCATTATCCTCTCTCCCTCTCATAACTTTATTTTAATCTCATTATTATATATCAAAGTATTGACTTGAACATTTGAGTGTATTTTGCAAATATACATCTTTTTCACTTTGAATCTTTATCTAACATAGACATTTTCATTCTTAAATAATCTCATTAACCAATCTCAACTATCATTCAACTAATTCCTTAAGTTCATTGGTGTTAAATAGATATGGTGGGACTACAAGACCCATTATTTCTAACATACAATTAAAGTTTGTATTAAATATATTTTTATGTTTACATGTTTTCTTAATTATTCTTTAAATTAAAAATGTGAAAAAACAAAGTTTTAAAAAATAAAATTATATATTTTATAAATTTAATCAGTTTATGAATAAGTAAAAAAAGTTATTGAATTAGTATATTTTTAAAAGTTAGAGAGTTAACATAATTAATTTAAAAAATGTAAAGAACTAAGATTTATATTTTAAAAAATACAAATATCAAATATATATTTATTCCTTGTGAAAAAAAGATAAGGAAACCAAAAGCTACTTATTCCATCCGTCAGTGCATGACTGAGTTACAACAATTGACAAAGTCAACCCAAGGTCAATTAACATTAGTTCTTAAAATTAGTTTTGTTGTTAAGTTTAACGTTTAAACAACAACCAAACATGGTAATTTGTTGTTGATTGAACATTTTGGTATTAGGTTTGAGTTCACTATAACTAGATTGGATTGAGGCATTGAGTAATTTAAAAAAAAAAAAAAAACTTAAAAAAGTATCTATTTCTAATATTTATTAATAACATAAAGTAAGATAACACTAGTAATATACATATAAATAATACTTATATAATAAATATAGAATGATTAGATAACTAATTTTTTTATCATATATTTATTATGTAGTCGTGTTAAAAGTGAGTTTATGAAATTTAAAATTCATTAACCTTAAACTTAACCTAATTCTAATTAAGTACATTAAACAATTGATTTGTAACAAAGTATAGCACAGAAAGAAATCAACATGACTTTTCTGTTAAAATAATAATTTATAGTTTCATTTGTTATCTTTCTCATATGCATAGTCTGAGATGTAATAATTTTTGGTTGCCGGTAAAAATATGATCATAGGCAATAATTGGTTCCACAATAGACATCCTTGATTAACATTGTTGCTATTGCTGTTACCATGTGTTATATCACATCCTTACCGAGTCTTGATTTTATACTTTATATGTTTGTAAAATTGACCGGTGTAAGAAAATTTAAGAATAATTATAAAATAAGAAAATTGAGTCATTTATAAATGACTAATTTAAGATTTTGTGTTCTTGATAAAAAAAAATTATAAATAAAATAGATAAATAAATAAGGATGGTGATCACATTGAAAAGAAGGAACTAAAATCAAGAAAAGATGCAGATGGAGGGGAAATATTTGAAAATTGTATTGGTTGGGATTTACAAAAGGGGAAATGGAGGAGTAACTGTCGTAAAGGAATAAAAAAGCTTGTTCGTTTTGCAGCTGCAAATGATTTCCCTTTCCACGTGAAAGAAAGCAACACGTAAAGGTGAAAAAAAGAGAAAGAACACTCAAAAATTGGACAGAGATGGGTGTGCCAACTTTCATAATTTTATAATTTATGATTGCGCACCACCTTCTGTGTGGGACACTGGTAGAGTTAATGAAGTAGGGTATGAAATGGCCCTACTTCACATAATGGTTTTCATCAGATATGTACTATCATATCTTTCACTATACTCGGATCCTCTTATTGTGTATTTCCCAAGTTAACATTATCATAATTTTATGAATGAGATATGAGAAAAAACTTATTTGGATCCAAGTCAAAGTGCTCAAGTGTGATGTGTGATCACAATTGACTCTATGGTCAAGTTGGGTCATTGTTCATGGTTTAGAGTTCTTAAAGATCATAAAATAAAATCTATCTGTCTTATATCTATTATATCTAGATATACTATTATAAACATTATAATGAATCAAAACATGATGAAAACTTTATATTTGTAGTGAGAGAGCATGATCATTAGGTAACGTGGTATGGTCAAAGGTAAAATATAGTTTTTTGAAAACCTTGATTATATAAAATTAATAAAAATAATATTTAAATAATTAGATAAAAATATATTATTGTATCAGTACTATAAAAAAATCCAGGATTGTCCCATGTGGTATGGTGATTGACATGACTATTGTATGCATGGTGGGCAGGATCCCTAAATTCATGGGCATCACCATTTCTAACATTTTTTTTCCCGTCATAACAAACTGATTACAAGGAAGTCGGTAGCACAAATTAACAATCTTTATTCTTTCTGTTCATAAAAATAATGAGGCCGGTGATATATATATATATATATATATATATATATATATATATATATATATATATATATATATATAAATAAGATAGATGGATTTTTTATTTTATTAAAATTATTATTAAATATTTAAAATTATTTTATTTTGATCATTAATTCATATATTTGAACTCGTTAATTACAGGTGTAATGATGTATAATATATATATATATATATATATATATATATATATATATATATAATTGAGAAGGTAAAATTGTCCTATATTAATTATTATTAATTTATGTTTTATTTTAAAAGTAAATTATCTCCCCATTCCACTGAATATAGGCACAAATTGGTAAGAATGTTTATTTAACTTCTCTAAAATTATTAGCGAATAACTATAATCGAAAAAGAGTTTTATTTACAAAAAAAATATTGATTATATTAAAATAAATAATTTATTATAAATCATAATATAATTAAATAAATATTTTTATATAATTATAGTGAGACAATATTTAATTAAATGATTTTTTATTATAAATTTTATGAAATTTCACTGCAAAATTGTTTTATTGATAGGCACGTGAAAGTTTTATATACCTTTTAAATGAGTATAACTCAAAAAAAATATATTATTATGGGATATTTTGTATATCTATAATAATGCAATAAATATCAATTACATAAAAAAATATCATAATTAACACAATCTTAAATTTAAATAATTTTTTAGTTTTAAAAATAATTTGAATACTAAAAAAATATAAAATTTTAGTCTTCTAAATTTTTATCAACAACATATAAAAAATTATTGAATTAAAAAAATATTGATAGGTTTAATAATTCAAAATTTATAAAAATATGTAAAAAATAATTACATTATAGTTTTTAAAATAAATTTTTATAATTTTAATATTACTTATAAATTATTATAAAAATAAAATCATGTTTAAATATATCTACAAAATTATTTTATAATTTATATATAGATTAATTTTATTTTATATAAATTTTATCTATTTTTTAAAATAATTACTTCATATCAAATCATATCTCAATTTTAATTAATATTTGTTTTTATTAAATTTTATAATAAGAATATTTTGATCATTCATTAATTTATCTTATTATTTTTTATCAATCAAATCAATTTTATTTTATACCATCTTTCTACTTATCTTAATAGTTCATTATTTTTTTCTAAATTGAAAAGAAAACTCATTTTTTTATTCTTCTCTTGTTTTCTACTCCTTTATCAAAACACAAACCTTCTTATATTAAAATATATTTTTAATATAATAATTATATTTAATGTAATAAAAACAAATTTATCTATTTTTAATCGTTACTGTTAGATAAATTATTCATTTAAATGATCATTAAGTTACCTATATATTATTTATGTGTATGAATTTAAGTGTTACCTGGTACTACACGTGAAAACAATTCATTCCATATTGCTTAAAATTTACTCAAAGAAAACTCTATGAATCTAACAACTTTGATTATATACATTTACAATTACTCATAATCTAACCATCAAATTAAATTTTTCTATAATTCAAGCCATACTCATCAATATACATACACATTACTTAAATGCTTCACTTGATATAACATTAACTTGTACTTTAATGGGGACAATTAAATACTTAATAGAGTAATATTCATATTATATGCAAAGGAGACAAAGTATTTTAATTATATTAAACACAAAATTTTGATTATATTATCAATTACTTCATAGTATTTTATAAAAACAATATTACTTATATCTTATAAAAAAATTAAAATTTAATTAAGCTTTTAGTTCTTAAGAAATTTACAAATAAGACATTTGTAATAATAGAATTTAGTGTTTGATTAATTCAGTTTTTCATTCTTACAAGTTCCCCTACAGGGAGTACGTACAAACAAAATTAAAATTTTTGTTAAATTAAATTTGTATCCGAAAACATTTTACAAAGTGGAATATGAGACTAAAGTAAAAGCCAAGAAAAAAATGAAAGACTCGAGCCTATCTAAATTTTGACTCAAAATCCTTTTTTAGTGTTTCAAAATTAAAACGAAATAAATAATTTTAGTTTCTTAACACTAAACCTGATGGATTAAAAATAATTAATTTAACATCAAAATTTTCTTTTAATTTTTAAAATTTAACATTCAAATTTTTAAATTGTTAGTTATTTTAGAAAATAAAGAAACAAATCAAAGATAAAAACTGAAATTTTATACTTTAAATATTTTAAAAGTTAAAAATATAATCAAACCTATCGTTGTATAAAAATAGTTATACATCAAGATAAACAACAACTTTTTTTATGCAAAAGGTAGAAAAAGGAATTTAGTAAATTGGTGGAAGTTTATTAGAAAGTTTAAGTTCAAACTGATTATATATGTTTTTTATATCAAGAGAGTAATGTTAGATGATATGATCTTTTTCAACTAGTTTAGTTGAGGTAGCTTTTTGTCCTTTTATTTAAAGAAGGTTTGGTATTGTAAGAAGAAAAGAGAATATTAAGGCCCCATGAATTTAACGATAAGATGATAGAACTTCAATGCTCCAACTCCATTCTCAAGCTTCACCTAGAGTCGAGTGGGAAGAAGGTAATGGATGTGATGTAGAATAATGTTAATCTTTAATGTTTCCTAATGGAGATGAAGGAAAAGACAAGACTACTAAAGATAGTGTCAAGACTCTTGAGGAGGAGGTGGAGAAACTAAATGTTGAACTTCTTAAGGTCAAGAAGGACCTTTCCGAATGTTTGAATGGTTTCAAGAAAGTTCTAGGCCAAATTGTTGCCATAAGCCCACATAGATTGGATACTTTCAATGTGGAGAAGAAAGTTTTTTATGCACAATTGGTAGACATTGACCCAATTCTTATTTTTCAATTTTGAACTTTGTATGGAAAAATTTTGAACAACTAATGAATGTCTTCTCGTGTATGGATACTTGTTTTACATTTTTTTTACTTATTAATAATTTTTCTGTATGTTCCATGAGAGTACGCTTTAGAGTTTAATGTAAAGTCAATATGTTGAAGATTATCTCAAAATATAGCAATGATATCTCGAAATGCATTGATTCAAAATGTAATACTTAAGAAATCATAACTTGAAATGCATTGAGCAGTGTAATAATTTTAGTTAAAGTAATTTTTTAATATAGGAAACTTGTTATCACTTTATTCAGTGTTGATTTGTTGATGACACTGTGGATGGTGTTAATGATAAATTAAGTGGACTTCATCGTAAGAAATTTGATGAAAACTTAATGATTATGTTGATATTGGGTTGATGAAAATAATATATATTGAAAAGTCTTACATCAAGTAATTAAGTGAATGATAGTAGTTATATAATAGAAGTTTATGATGTTCTAACACCTTAGTAAAAAATATTTTAAGTTTGTATTTAACTTTTTTTATACTTTTATAATAGTGATAAGATTCCAAATAGAATTAGCGCAATAGAGTTTAAAATCAATACAAAAATTAGGAATTAAGAATAATATGGAAAAAATCTAAATAAAGAAAGACGCCACAAATAAAGTTTGATAAGCCTAAAAGTGATTGTTATAATAATTGGTGAATTCTTGATCAAAAATGCAAAAAGAACTCCAAAAGAAAAATATTCTCATTTTGGCAAAAATTATATATTTTTTCCTCTTTCTTAATTAAATAATCATAAATACAGATATTTATGGTTTAGGGTTTTATTGGACTTGACTTTTTTTTATAATAAAAAAACTCAAAATAATTAAAACTAATCAAATATTAAATTAATGATCTTGGGTTCAAATCCCAACTTCACCAAAATAAATTAATTTTATTTAATTCTTCAAGTCGTACATGTAACCAACTTAGCCTCCTCAGTGGTTTGAGTCTCCCATAAAAGAGCTACATTTTGTTGTAAAACTTCTTGAATCTTTCTAATCCTTTCTTTAGTCATTAGTCTAATTAAATCTTCAATTAGATCTTCATCTTTCTTGTCATGATCTTAAACTTTTATGTCCACATCAAGTAGAGTGTTGTGAGGTTTGATTTAAATTCTTGTTTTGGAGAGTATGAGTGTATTTGAGATCAAATGGTATGAAAGAACAATATATGTGTTGTAAAAATTTGCATACAGTGTTATTATTTGGTTATCATTAGATAACGTGGTTTTTTTTTTTTTTTCAATTTTAGAATTTTTACATTATACTCTTAAAGATAAAGATAATGATGTTCTTCATAACGTTTTTTCTCATCAGATTTGTTGACACCTTGAATTATGTTAATAACACTTTAAGTGATGTCATCTAAAGATAATTAATACCAATAATACTTTGAAGTGGTGTCCTCCTTAAGATATTTGTAGATACCTTAGGTTATACTAATGACACTTTGATTAGTGTCATTCATAAGAAGATATATTCTAGATAATATAATTTTTAAAGAATATGATCAAGTTCTAATTAAGAATATTTACTCGATGTAAGTTTTGAGTTAAATTGTTAGAATCAATTATTTGATTAACTCGTATGCTCCGTTTTGGAGGAAGTTAAAAATTGGATGTGATTCCTCTAAAGTTGGAGCAAATCAAAATTTTGTCCCTATACATAACAATTTAGAAATTTGTCACAATAACATTCTATTCAATAATTTTTAACACTTTAAATTGAATGCAAGAACAATCATGAAAAAATAAATAAGAAAATAAAAAAAATGAAACAATTTTACTAGTTCATTTTATAAAAAAAAAAACAATCTTCAATTGCTCAATCATTTCAATTAAGGCAAGATTGAGTTAATAAACTAATCTCTCAATTTTATACAAAACCTTCACAAAATAACACAAAATAAAAAAAATTATATTTGAGTTTGAACCTACAACACTCTTTTGTAATTCTATAAGATTCATCTAAACAATCCTAAGAACATAATTTTGACAATACTAACCATTAACAATCATGACAACACTAGTTAAGAACATAAGTTAGTCACCAATTAATTACATGAAAATTGAATGAAGGTGAAAAAAATAAAAATAAAAGACCGATAGGGAATAAACTTATATAATCACTTATTTGCAATTATCTTAAAAAAATGGGTGAATGTATGAAAAAAAAAAACTAAATATTTTTCTACTATACGATACACTAGATATGTTTGAAAATAAACTTTTAAAATTATAATCACTTTATTATTTAAAAAAATATATACCTAAATAAATATACCCATAAGATTGTGCGGATTAAAAATAAATTTAATTCATTAAGATGATCCTTAAAATTTTATTATAATATTTTAACGAATTAAATTATATTTTTGTCTATTAAAATTACAAAATTGATTTATATCCATCAAAAAGATTATTTATTAAAACAAAACTTATTTAAGAAATTACATGTAAAAATCTAGTTTTAATTTATTAAAATATTTATAATTTCAGTCTCAACGTCTTAGCATATTTAAAAAAATATCCAAGTCAGAAACACTTGCAATACTCGATTGTTACTCTAAGATTAATGAAAGAAAAGACCACTTGCAACCCACCAACTACGATTAAAGAACATCTAAAATTGAAAATCCTTGTCCACACGAACTACATTTAAACCAAAATATCCAGAGCTTGAAATGAAGAAACAAACTTAATTTTGTTCTAACATGACAACGTATGATCTTTAAATAAATTAAGTTGAAAACTTGGGATTTGGACTGCCCCACAATGTTTGAAAGAAATACGAAGATGTTTGTGATGATTTTCCACTTCTTTGACTTCCTTGCACTATTGGATCCCACTGCAGGAAAATATTGTTACGAAATTATAAATAAAGTGTTCCATCACGCTCCTCTTCATTTATTGCTAAAAATCTTTACTTAAATAATGAAGTATATCAATTATTATAATGGACAAATTATATTTATTGGGATGACATAAACGAGTTGTTAAGTAAAATGATCACTTTAATTTTTTAAAATATTTTTTATTTTTTACCATTTTTTATTTTAAAATATTCTTTATATTTTATTAATAAAATATAATTTATGTATTATAATTAAATATAAGTTAGTTCATATATATATATATATATATATATATATATATATAATTATATTACATTTTAATAATAATAATAATAGGTAAGAACATGTTTAAAATAAAATATATAAAAAACATGAATATTAAAACTAAAAAAAATACACTTAAAAAGAAAAAGAAATTCAACCAAGATTGTTAAAAAAGTGACATGAAATGACTGTAACATGCTAAAAACCAAACAGGTAACATGATGTTTCATAATTAAAATAAATTATATATTATATTAAAAAAATACAATTCTAAATTCTATGTTATTAAACTAGCAGTTCTGTTTCATAAATTTTAAACTTACATACTTATTTTTTAATTTAATTTTATTAAAATTATTAAAATTTTAAGTATAAATTTGAAATCTTGAATACAAATGAAAAAATTAAGTAATTTATAAATTGATGATCTCTTAAGATTTTGTATTAAATTTGATAATATAATTTATTTTTGTCCCATCGAAACAAATACCTAAAATAAGAAAAAAAGTTTACATAATTTATTTTATTATTATAAAAATAAATAAATATTTCAGTTTTTACTATGAGATGTTTAGTTTGACTGGTAATATACAAACAAAATTATTTGAGAATAAAATAAAGCATACAAATTTATAGAATCTTAGTAATACTTTTATTTATTGGTTTTTATTAGAAAAAGAGATTATAGAGTGATAGATACAAATTAAGGTTTTTGAAAATAAATTTGAAGAAAAACATAATGAAAGAGAATATAAATTGTGCAAGAATCATAAATAACTTATAGAGAACAGGAGTAAATAGTGAGCTTTTAATAGAAAATCGTGAAAAGATATATATATATATATATATATATATATATATATATATATATATATATATATATATATATAAAAGTCAAACAAAGAAAAACATAATTTTTTTTTTGATAAATGATAATTTTTACAAAGTTACAATGTTTTCTCGTATTTATAATTCAAGTTTACTTGTAAGCATTCCATGGAGTAATTAATTTCCAATTAGCCTTTATTTTCCATTAACAAATTAATTCCCATTAAACATTAAATTTTGGCTACAATTAAATTAGAACCCCACTAACCATTATAATATCTTAAGAAAAACATTAAAATAACTTGCAACATAAGAAAAGTAAATATGAACTTATTACATGAAAATTAAATATGAAAATTAGAAAATGGGTTTTGTGAAATCCATAAAATGAGTACGAGATATTTGAAACTGTTGAGAAATGGATTGTAAGAATCCTATCTTATACAATCTATAAGAAAAGCTATGATTAGTAAAAACTTGAACTCGAGAAGACAACCTTCGCTTGAAAGACACTAGAGGTTCACTAGAATCAATCCAACTAGACCAAGAGCCACTCTTGCCCATTATAAGACCTAACAATCATTGCATAAAACTCTTATTACGTTCTTACCACAACACAACCAAGAACAACTATCTTAATAACACTCACCAAGAATCAAGCTAAGCTACTCTAGAGGAACCCAATAAGAAGATATGTCTAAGAACAACACTAATGCACAAACACAATATAGGAAAATGGCTCTATCACGTGACTCTTCTTAGCACAACACTTGAATCATACATAACCACTGCAACTCATCTTTTGTCATTCAAAGAGCTTGTCTAAAGACTCACATGAGTAGTCTCGTTTGTCTATTTGACCGGTTCACCTTCAAGTCAAATCAACAAACCTATGTCATATAATACTTCAATTAATACATCTAAGACAAGTTAAACTTCAAACACATGACATGCAAACTTGAATTATCAAAATAAACATTTCACTAGATATTGCAGAAGGAAAAAAAAATACAAATAAAATAAGGTTTAGGAAGTTACTCTTGTGACAAGATTTTGATAAAGTATGTTATAAGAGTAATATGTGCAGTATTTTTAAAGTATCTCGGGAAATAAACGAATATATATATATATATATATATATATATATATATATATATATATATATAAATTACATTATCTTTCCATAAATGTAAGGATAAAATAGAATAATAATCGTTAATAAAAATATTTAACAAAGAAGATTATGATTTTTTAAAAATTTTGTTAAATAAACAAATTGGTCAACCCTCTAACGAATTAAAAATGAAAAATGAAAAATGAAACAAAAAAATCTTGCTAATATTCCCTCCAGAAGTGGAGTTCGGCACCAGCATTTATCCTTAGAGCAGTATTTTCCAACACGCTCCGATTCACCAAGTTCCTATCTTGTCTCCAAAGAATTACTAGGACAGGAACTATCATGCATAAATAAAAGCATACCCTCCGTCCAACAATAGTTAGTTACCAAATTGGGTCGATTCTCAACTTCTCAGAGTCCAAAAATTAATTTCCTTTATATTACCCATTGAGCGAAAAATCTGCGGCAGCTTGACTTGATGACGAAGGTAAGATAAATAATGGGTTTATATATACCGCTCAACCCACCAAATCAAAGTCGACGAGTTATATGGATGACTCAACCAACAAGTTTTGCCAATACTCTAAAGTGCAATCGTTCACTTTAGAAAAGTCAAGTCCCACATTAGATCATCCTCCCCAACCCAACCAATATGAACCTCAAATATTAGTTCATCAGTATATTCTTAAGAGCAGTTTGAAAAAACTATTTCCTGGACAATTGAAGAAGCTATTAAATAAACATTGTAAAATGACAATTCTCAACATTTATGGTAATTATCGAACATTAATGTCATGTCCAAAATCATTGTAACTTCATCCATCTAAACAGATTTTGTACTTATATCATTTTGGACCAGAATGAGGAGACATCAGGAACAAAACTATGTCAGTCAAATTCAACACTATCGGTGATTCATTTGTAAATTTTTTGGACTCTTGATTTCATTGTCTGGTATCTGAAACTTGAAGGTAAAGAAATAGCTTCCATAACGAAGAAAAACCATCAGAAGTTTCCAAGGATTTTGCACAGTCTATCTGTCGGTAACATTACGTCAAAAATAAAGAACGTGTTGAAAGATACAAATTGACAGCAAATACTTGAGACTAACTTCAGAACAATATGCTGATTTCAGCTGAAGACGTACATTTTCAAACTTGCAACGCTATACAGCAAAAACCCTTCAAAACTAAAGAAATTATTAGTTTAATACCTGTTCTATTCATGCCACCAACAAATGTTAGAACTTTCATTCAGAGGGTAGCTGAGCCTCAATAAAGATGCCATGCTTTGTCTCTGCCATTTCAACTTCATATGAGTTGTTACTTGAAGATTTCTCATCTTCTATTGCCATCCGCTTCAGTTTCTCCTGTTGTATGTGGCGAAGCTCATATCTGATTAGAAGCAATAAAGGGGATTCATATATCCTCAAAGCATGGGACATTTTCCCCCCTCTTTTTGATAATTTGGTATCCATGCATACGTGATAAGCATTGTGAATGTGTGCATGCACAAAATATGGGGAGGGGTGGAACAAAGATTGCGAAATTCTCAAAGCAGCTACTATCTACAGTATAAGTAGCAAAAACTTCAGAGTAATTTTGTTTTGCAAATTTGTAAATAATCATACAAGAATTTGTATGACTTACTCGAGAACATGGCTCCTGGCAAGCTTAAAGTAAATTCTCCAGAATTGATTTTCCTTCAAATGGCGAGGACACAGTACATATCTCAGTTGAGATATTTCCTGGAACAAACAAAAACCATAATTATTTATGGTACTAATTGAAGGGCTTTGCTCCCCCCCAAGCCCCTTTCATCCAACTACAAGATTATATGTATTAATATTATTTTGAATAAAATCAAATCAAAGTTATTAATATATGATAGTGACACTGGCACCACCTAAAAAAAAGGTTAAATGTTACTTTTAGTCCTTTATGTTTTAATATTTGAATTTTAATGCATAAAGTTTTAAAAGTCTCAATCTGATACTTCTGCTTTTGAAAAGGGTCAGTTTGGTGTTTTTCTTTTATCAAAAAGGTTAAATAGACTAATAAAGTTAACTTACCATTGACTTATTGAACATTTATATTAAAAATGACCAAAGTGAAACTTTTTAAAAGCATAAAGTGCTAAATTGATATTTTTAAAACTCTATTAACGAGCACATTAACTAACTCTTAATTATATTGAGAAAAAGAAATCAATGTAATAAATAGAGGAGATTTGATATCCTCTCTCTCTCCCTCTCCCTCTCTCACTCTCTCTCTCTCTCTCTCTCTCTCTCTCTCTCTATATATATATATATATATATATATATATATATATATATATATATATAAACACACGTGTGTGTGTGTGTAATCCTAGAATAATACAATATCCAGAGAGTCTTGATATGTCTAATTGTACAATTTTGACAAAGGTATGATTGTAATAGTTGTATCAATACCAAGTAGTTCATTCTATTAGAATAAAGAGGACTCTGATGAAATTCCACGTCAACTAGATATATAATAATATTATAGTATATATATATGATTATAATCCTCACTTTACTGAGCCAATTTTATAAAATTAAGTTAGGTACATCTCCATTTTTAATACATTCTACTCAATGTAAAACTCTTAACATTACCACCTTGTGTATCAGTATTCAGTTTGCAACTTAATGATAGAGTCCGTCAGCTAGTAAGGCCAAGACCTCCAATTAAACACGTGTATTCCAGACGGGCTCCAGGCTGTAAGTAGAGGCAAAATTAGCTAAATGATGATGGTAGTTAGTTAGGGAAAAGATTTAAATAAGAGGTGATGCTCCTCTGTAAAGGGAGGTTTTTTGGGACTTTGGGAAAAGTTAGTTGGAACGGATAGTTGGAATCCGTTGGAAAAATTCTTTCTCTTTCTACATTCAGTTTTGATTTTAATCTGATCTCTTTATCATCAATATTACAACTTCTTTATCAAGTAACACATTGATTCTTGATAATAATATTCAGTTCCTATACTTTTGGTAAATTCTCTTTCCAGTTCTAACACTGGTATCAGAGCATCGATCTTGGTGCTCTGGAAAGTTAATTGGAGCTGCGCATGAGGACGAGGAGCATGACGAGAAATTTTGTTGAATGGGAGCACGAACGCGAGAAGATGATCACGCGATTGGAATTAGCAGAGGCAAAAACAACGAAGAATGAGGAATTATTGATGGCCATTGCAGCGAAATTGGGGATAGGCCAAGAAGACGCCTCTAGTGGACATGAACGTGAGATGGTTGAAGGAAGCTCTGGAGCAGAGCATCGCAATTCTGGAAAATGGAGGAAACTAGAAATTCCAATTTTCTCAGGAGAGGATGCATATGGGTGGACTCATAGATTGGAGAGATATTTTGTTGTGAAAGGCGTGAGTGATGAGGAGAAGATGCAGGTTATTATGGTGGCTTTGGAGGGAAGGGCATTGAGATGGTTTCAGTGGTGGGAACGATGCAACCCAAACCTTAATTGGGAGGGGTTTAAGTATGTTGTAATCAGGAGGTTCCAGCCCTCTATAATTCAAAATCCTTTCGAATTGTTGTTGTCTTTGAAACAAACAGGAACCGTGGAGGAATTTATAGAAGAATTTGAGAAATATGTGGGGGCGTTGAGGGAGATAGATCAAGAATTTGTCAAAGGCATTTTCATGAACGGACTCAAGGAAGAAATACAAGTAGAGTTGAGACTCTATGAACTCAACACACTTTCCGAGGTAATTCAAAAATCGTTGATGATTGAACAAAAGAATGTGGTTTTGAACAAGAAGAATAATTCGCAAAATTTTAGAGCAGATGGCAATGATAGAAGTGGCCCTTATAATAGAACTGTGATGCTGGAATCTAAGAATATGATTGAAAAGAAGACAGAACCTATGAGTTTGGGGATAAAGGTTCCACAAATAAATTCAGGACAGTCAAGAGAGGGACCAAGAAGCCGAGGAGGAGAGTTTAAACATCTCACCGGAGCTGAAATGAGGGAGAAAAGAGAAAAGGGGTTATGTTTCAGATGTGATGAGCCTTTTAACTGGGAGCATAGGTGCAAAAATAAACAATTGAGGATGATTATTTTAGAAGAGGATGAAGAGGAGGAAGGCTTAGATGAGAATCAAACAGTGCTAGTGCTGGGGAATTTCAATGCACTACAATTATCTTTGTGTTCAATGACTGGATTCACTACAACCAAATCTTGGAAGGTGGGAGGGAAAATTGGAGATAAGTTTATTATCATCCTGATTGATTGTGGAGCTTCACACAATTTTATTGCAAGGGAACTGGTGGAGCAGCTTGAGATGAGAGTGGAAGACACACCATCATACATAGTGGAGGTGGGAGATGGACATAAAATTAAATGCAAGGTAAAATGTACTCAGTTAATGATGATGATGCAACAGATCAAAATAGTCCAAGACTTCTATCATTTTGGACTAAAAGGAATTGATGTGGTTTTAGGGTTAGAATGGTTGTCTAGTATGGGAGAAGTTAAGGCAAATTTTGGAAAACTTGAACTGACTTTAAGGCAAGGGGGAGAGTTGATCAAGGTGATAGGGGATCCTGCTATGACCAAGACTGAATTCTCTTTTGGGGCATTCATGCAAGTGCTCCAATCAGAGGGGGAAGGTTTGTTGTTGCAATGTGGGACAACAACTAATTCGGAAAAGATTGAGCAGAAAAATCCAGCTGCTGTGCAGAAATTGTTGCAAGGTTTTCAGGATGTCTTCCAAGATCCACAGGGTCTACCTCCTAGTAGAAGACACGATCATGCAATTCAATTGAAGGAGGGATCCGAAATTCCAAATTTAAGGCCTTACAAGTATCCTCACTATCAGAAAACGGAGATTGAAAGACTAGCGATGGAAATGTTGATGGCAGGAGTTATAAGACATAGCATCAGTCCTTATTCTAGCCCTATCATATTAGTCAAAAAGAAGAATGGAGGGTGGAGATTTTGTGTGGACTATAGGACTTTAAACAAAATTACTATTCCCAATAAATTCCCTATTCCAATCATAGAAGAGTTATTGGATGAGATTGGAGGGGCTTCTATTTTTACCAAACTTGATCTCAAATCTGGCTACCATCAAATAAGAATGAAGGAGACGGATATACCAAAGACAACATTTAGAACTCATGAGGGACACTACGAGTTTGTTGTCATGCCATTTGGTTTAACCAATGCGCCATCAACATTTCAAGCATTGATGAATGAGGTTCTTAGACCTTATTTGAGAAAGTTTGTTTTGGTATTTTTTGATGATATTTTGGTATATAGCCAAGATGAGCAGTTTCACATAGACCATTTGCAAAAAGTACTGCGAGCTTTAAGGGATAATTCTCTAAAAGCTAATTTGAAGAAGTGTACTTTTGGACAAAAAAGCTTGGAATATTTGGGGCATGTTATTTCAAAGAAGGGTGTGGCTGCTAATGAGGCCAAGGTAGCGGCTATGAGAAATTGGCCTATACCAAAGGATGTTAAAGACTTAAGAGGATTCCTTGGACTCACGGGGTACTATAGAAGGTTTGTCCAAGGGTATGGCAAAATAGCCAAACCTCTTACTGATTTGCTTAAGAAAGATTGATTTTATTGGTGCGAGGAGGCTACTGTAGCATTTCAACAACTGAAAAATGCTATGGTTGCTTTGCTACTTTTAGCTATTCCAGATTTTTCCAAGGTGTTTATCATAGAAACAGATGCATCTAGTAAGGGTATTGAAGCTGATTTGATGCAAGAAGGGAAACCTTTAGCTTTTTGGAGTCGAGGCCTTTCTCCTAAACCTCAACAGAAATCAGTTTATGAAAGGGAGCTTATGGCATTGGTTCAGGAAGTTAAAAAATGGAAGCATTATCTGATGGGCCATCATTTTATAATTAGGACTGATCAACGAAGTTTGAAATTTTTGAATGATCAAAGATTTTTCAGTGAGGAGCAGTTTAGATGGGTAGTCAAGTTAATAGGGTTTGATTTTGAAATTCAATTCAAACCTGGTAAGAAAAACACAGTGGTTGATGCTCTTTCTAGGAGAGAGATGAATTCTGCACTCTCAGTGGTTAATATGACAGAAGTTGAGGAGTGGTTAGAGGAGGTTCAATCAGATCCTAAGTGGCATCAGATCATTCAGGATTTGCTCCTAAATCCAGAGGCTCATTCAGGGTATACTTATAAGAATGGTAAGCTATTGTATCAGGGTAGATTGGTGTTGTCCAAAGATTCTAATCATATCCTTATCATTATGGTCGAATGCCATGATGGCCCTACGGGAGGTCATTCTGGTTTCTTTAGAACCTACAAAAGGGTGTCCAGTTTTTTCTATTGGGAGGGTATGAAGGGATATATTAAAAAGTACGTTGAAGCCTATGAAGTTTGCCAAAGAGCGAAATATTCAACCTTGAGTCCTGGAGGTTTAATGCAGCGTACCCCTGTCCCTACACAAGTTTGGCAAGATATCTCTATAGATTTTATAGGAGGTTTACCAAGATCAAAAGGGAAAGACACCATTTTGGTAGTTGTAGATAGGCTGACCAAATTTGCCCATTTTTTCCCTCTAGGACACTCCTATACAGCCAAGGAAATAGCAACTGTTTTCCTAAAAGAATTCGTCAGGCTTCACAGTTTTCCATCATCAATAGTATCTGATAGAGATCAAATTTTTCTCAGCCAATTTTGGCAAGAATTGTTCAGGTTGGCGGGTACTAAACTTAAACTTAGCATGGCTTATCACCCTCAAACGGACGGCCAAACTGAGGTAGTCAACCGTAGTCTGGAAACTTATTTGAGATGCTTTATAGGACCAAAACCTAAATCTTGGGTTGATTGGTTACCATGGGCTGAGTTTTGGTTTAACACCAAGTACAATAGTTCAGCTGGCATGACCCCTTTTAAGGCTCTATACGGCAGAGACCCTCCTATGTTGATTAAGGGCTGCACTTTTACTTCTAAAGTGGAAGAAGTCAATCAATTGTTGTTTCAGAGAGATGCGGTGTTATCAGAATTGCAAAAAAATTTATTGAGAGCACAAGATTTAATGAAATCTCAAGCCAATAAGCACAGGAGAGCAGTGCAGTTTGAGGTAGGTGATTGGGTTTATTTGAAGCTGCATCCATATAAATTGAAATCTTTGGCTAGCAGACCTTTTGCCAAGCTATCAGCTAAATTCTATGGTCCTTATCAAGTGCTTGATAAGATTGGAGAGGTGGCTTATAAGTTAGCTTTACCGGAGCATACTAGGGTGCATCCAGTTTTCCATGTATCTTTACTAAAAAAAGTTATTAAAGCCACTCAACAAATTCAACCTTTGCCACCAATGTTGAGTGAGGAGTTAGAATTACAAGTCCAGCCTAAAGAATTACTACAGTGGAGACATAATCAACAAGGGCAGACAGAGGTGTTAGTTCAGTGGGCGGATCTGCCACCTTGTGATAGTTCTTGGGAGAGTGTATCCCAGTTACAACCCAGTTTTCCACAATTTCCACTTGAGGACAAGTTAGCTCTTATAGGGGGGAGTATTGATAGAGTCCGTCAGCTAGTAAGGCCAAGACCTCCAATTAAACACGTGTATTCCAGACAGTGATGGTAGTTAGTTAGGGAAAAGATTTAAATAAGAGGTGATGCTCCTCTGTAAAGGGAGGTTTTTTGGGACTTTGGGAAAAGTTAGTTGGAACGGATTCTAATCCGTTGGGAAAATTCTTTCTCTTTCTACATTCAGTTTTGATTGTAATATGATCTCTTTATCATCAATATTACAACTTCTTTATCAAGTAACACATTTATTCTTGATAATAATATTCAATTCCTATACTTCTGGTAAATTCTCTTTCCAGTTCTAGCACTTAATTCCGCCTATAGATAGCTCTTTTTTTACCCTTCTCAATGAAAACACCAATTATTAGAACTTAAGCACAAGAGGAGAGCCCATCCCAAAAGACAAGTTCATTAGATGAAAATCCTACGTACCACATCAAGTAGTTCACTATACTGAATCTGGGACTCCTAAGAACAAGTTACATCAAGAACTAGAAACAAATTAACATAATGAAATTTTGAATGAGAAAAAGATAGGGAGCTCATCAAAATCATTGAAGCTAGAGAAAAAGCTTGTTTCCTAGGAGGAAGAGTTATTTTTCCCTTCATCATCCTTGAAAACACGAATGAGAAAATCATCGGAGGTAACATTATTGTCTAAGGCACTACAAACAGAGTTGGTTGTTGAATAGTCCTCCACCAAAGACCATTTAATAACATAAGTTGGAAACCTTCCATTACCACAAATTGGACCTTTGTTTTGAACAACAATGGGCCTCATACAACACTCACCCAACTCAAGTGAAGGTCAAATTGCATTGGTTACACCCAAATTAGTCTAGGACGACGTCTAAGACCCAAACTATTATCAGACTATGTATAAACCCTTGGTCAAAACTCTAGTTTTGATAATAATAATAATAATAATACATCAGTAAGTAGTCATGAGAAAACACTGAAAGGCATATTATATCAGGTATGACATTGAAATGCAAGCCTTTGAAAAAGCTTGAATAAAGTTGTCCAACGTACAATATTTATTTAGGCTACATCAGCCAACAAGTCAAACTTTCATGAGAACAAGCATAATGCAATATTTGAACATTTCTTTGAACAAAGAATAACAACACAATAAAGGAGTCTAACAGCGTCAATGGTGAAAATGGTCAAACAAGTCTAAATATTTTGCGTTGAAAAAAAAAAAACATATTGACTGAAGCAAAGTTTTGTCCTGTTTTGAACGAACAAACTCTATTACAATGGCGCCAGTTTGAAGAGAAGTATATGTAAGCTTTGTAAGGAAAAAAGAGCATAACAAAGCAACACAATGAAGAAAAACAACAGACACACAGGCAATATTCTATTACATTCTTGGATACATCTTGTGCATCCAATAACTTATACAAAACCGTCTAGCTTGAGTTTGTTTCTTTGTGTAGCATGCCATTCCAAATATTGTACTTAATTTTGTATCCTCACATGAATTATGTCCAATTCTCCTTCAACCTAAGAAGGGTTCCACTAATCAAAAACTTGATTACAAGTATTGTCTGTCACTCGTGACTTACAACAAGAAGGATTTTCTCTATCACTCCTCAAAACTCTCAATCTCAAATTGAGATTAAAAACCCAAGGATTCTCTAACACTGTCACTCCTATCTTTCGACAAACAGAAATGTTTGATAATAAATCAACTTATTGAAACGAATAATTTGCCAATAATGAGTTGGGGACTTTAACTATTCAACCGTAGATGCTTAGCAGGAATTTTCATATATGGTGAATAACCCCCTTGGAGAGATGAGCAGCAACAAACAGAGAAGATTACCAGACAGACGATTTATTGGTGAATAAGCCAGCTTTTTTCATTCAGATATGCAACTGGGTGCTACCCAAACATAAGCTGTTATACTGTTGGTTGAATATTAAGTATATAGTCTTAGACTCTCAGTCACCAGACAAGAAATTAAAAATGAACTCTATACAAATACAAATCAACATAGATCTATAAGGAAAAGTATCACTTCTTGTTGCTTGCTATTTGTTGTTGCTGGTTAAAATATTTTTAACAATAGAAGAAAAACAAACACACAAAAGGAAGAAATAATAGGAACATTAAGAAACATAAACAGAAACCACACGCCATACTGTTTCTGGGCACAAGGTTTCTTCATTTGCTGCTTCAGCTTTTTGGACACATTAGGGGAAATTGAAAATTCAAATTATCATTTAACTATCCTTTGTAATGTTCATTCTTGTTATATTTACAGTCATGTATCCTTACGAAAAATCACTAAAGGCATGACAAAATCCTATGCTTTTCTCCTGTTCCATGCTTATATCCTTCTCCGTTATCTCATACTTCAAGAACTTTTCAAATGGAAAATTAATGAGAAGTTTTACCCGTGTCAGTTGTTAGCCAAATAGAATTTACACCACAATGTTAGCTGTCCATGCATTGGAAAGCATGAGAAAAAAGAAACAAATTAATCATTACCGATCATTAATCCATTTGGGAAAAGATGTTCATTTAGAATCTAAGACTGTTATAATCATTAAAAGCCAATATGGGCAAACTGTCTATTTGTACAAAGACTATGGTCTCATAGATCATAGCCTGGACAAAGGAGGAGGGTTATGCTAGAAACTCAACTGTCAATATTAACTAATTGAAATCCTTAACATGGATCGCTCACCACCACCAACATCACCTAGTGGAATAAAACTTTTGTTGTCATTGTCGATTCCTACATATAGTTCCCTTTTAAGTAAACTATCAGGTTTGAGTTTTGTGAAAACAAGAAATATGATTAGACAGAGCTTTGCTCCTTAAATGCTGCCACTTGACTCCATCTAGAACAGTCAAGCTCGAAACCCAACTTGATGAGTATATAATAATAATAAAAAAAAAAAAAGACTACTAGCTAATCAACAGGATCAGCACTGTGCAATGTCATGCAAGCAAAAGAGAATAAAATACATGATTTTGTAGATTCCATTAAGAAGCATCATCAATCTTGCAATACTTGGGATACAGAGGAAGATAAAGTCCTCCATTTCTACAAACGAGCACAAGTAGTTTTACTGCTTAACAATTCAAGTGTTCAACATCACAAACAAACAATAATAGTCGAAGACAAACCTTTACTCTTGAGAGAACGAGGATTGCATGTCTCTCCTGCCACTGGGAGAGATCCTTTCGAACTTTGCTTGAAGAGGATTGAGTTTCTTCCCCATAACTTCCTTCATCTTCATCTGCACCCAAAAAAACAAAAAATGAAAAAAATAAAATAAAAAACTAAAAAATAACACTAAAACAATATTGGGTTTTCCTACGAAGAATGCGAAACTACAGCAATTCCCAATCCCAAGCAACCCATGATTACGATTACTTAGTATGGGAATTAAAGAAAGTTATATCAAGCCGGGTGAATGGGAAAACATGTAATTAAATTATGAAAAAAGGAAATTAAAAAATGGGACGCATAAATCACAGAGTTTTCGTAATTGAAAGGAAACCTTTGAGAGGGAAATTCTTAAATGTGTCAATCGTGAAGGACTTGACGTGGTTGATGAGTTCCTCGGTAATCCCGTATACTTTTTCTTCTCCTTCTTGTTGATGTTGTACTTTGGAGTTGGACTTGGTTTGGGTATTTGGGGTTATGGTATTCCCTGAACTCGTAGAAAGACTACGTCTAAGCCAATCCATCTCTTACAGTTTGATGAGTTGTTACATTGGAAGAAGGTGACCTGCTGAAGATATGAAGGGATATAGGTTGTGATTGAAGTAACAGTTCAGAACAATTTTGCAAATATGAACAAGTGTTCCTTCTTCAAGTTTTATTCATCGGATCATTTAAAAAAAAAAACAGTAAATTATTTTTATCAATCTAAATCTTGTAATTTATAATTATATTTTAGTAATACTTTTTTACTTTTTTTTTTTACTAAAATAATATTATTATATTATATATATCCACCTATCACAACCTCCTTTCAAATTATTTCTTTACCTGAAACTCTCATAATATTATTTACTTAACTTAAATATATAATTAAAAATAATAAAATTAATATAAAAAATAATAAAAATAATATATTATTTAAATATATATTAAATTATTTAAATATATTTAAATAATTATTAAAAATATTAAATAATAATTTTTTATTATATTTTTTTATATATATTTTTATTTTTGAATAAGAAATTTAAAATTTATATATTTTTTTATTATACGAATTATTTAAGTTATAATTTTAGAAAAAAATAGAATAAATAAAAATTTAATTTAGGTAATATATTAAAAAATTAAATATTATATTATAAAAATTTATGTAATAGTTTTTATTTGATAAATTATAAATATTATATTAAAAATTCATGCTAATTTTTTTTAAAATAATAAAGTAAAAATATTATTTAATTAATTAAAAATTATTATTATTAATATAAAATAAACTTAAAAATAATAAATAATAAAAATTGACAGAATTTAATGTATAATATTAAAAATAATATAATCATTGGTAATAAAAATTGAAAAATAAAATTATTGACAATAATGTTAAGAAAATTTTAATCTCGAAAGTGATGTTTAGTTCAAAAATGAAGACGACATCTATTATATTTTGGATTTTGTCAATATAGTTCTTTTTATTCATTTTCGTTTAAGTCATTTCAATTTCTATGTATATCTTTTATAATTAATCATTTTTCAATTACAAGGTATGACTTATCATTTATTTCTATTTCAATAAGTTTATTTTTCTTTAATATCATGTTCTATAATTTTTATTTTGCTACTAATAACTTATTTTTAATTTTACTTTTAATATTTTATATATTAAATTTATCAATTTTTTCTAAAATTATAACTTAAATAATTCATATAATTAAAAAAATATATAAATTTTAAATTTTCTATTAAAAAATAAATAAATAAATATATATAATAAAAAATTATTAATTAATATTTTTAATAATTATTTAAATATATTTAGATAATTAAATATATATTTAAATAATATATTATTTTTATTATTTTATATATAAATATTATTTAAATTTTAAAATTAAAATTTTTATTTTAATATTATTTTTATATAATTTTTTTATTTTTAATTATATATTTTATTTAATTTTTTATTTAAAAGAATAATAAGTTTAAAGTTAAAACTTCGATTTACTGAAAAATCAAATTCCAAACATAATAAAAAAAGATATCCAAGTAAATAATTTTATAAGAGGCTATAATAATATTATTTCAGTATAAAAAATAAGTACTTTTTTCTTTAGTTTTGAATTATAATTAAGTTTCATATATACTGCACAAACTCGTATTGTCGTGTTTGTATGTGTCTCCGTTTTTATCATGTTATTTAATTCTATTTTATTTGAACCAAATATTATTATTTACATTAATTTAAATTTTATTTTATTTAAATAATAATTATGTTTTACCTTTTTAGTTACGTGGCTTTGTTTATTATATGAGTATAGACAAATAAGTATATTATTTCTCTTGAATTCTATTAAAGTTGTATCATAATAAAAATATATATAAATGTAAACATTAAAAACAAAACAAAAGTATTATTTTATAATAAATTTATATATATATATATATATATATATATATTAAAAGTTATATATTAGTATTTTATTTATATAATAATAAATATTTCAGATGAAACTATAATTTCCTTTTTGGTTGGTTTTCATATTCCTTATAATTTATAAGAAATAGAATAAAACTTTTGAATTGATGTATTTAAAATATAAGGAGTGAAATTATTTATTTTAGTTGGAAGAACTTATTTCAATCTCAATTGGTTTAATATATGTGTGTATAATATGACACATTTCAAATATATCATTTATCAAATATAATCAACCTTCTCATCATCACTATAAGTAAAAGTTCAATAGATTTATAAATGAATATCTTAAATTTGTTTACTTTAAAAATTATTCAGATAAATCATTTAATTTTTATGTTACATATATATATATAAATAAAAACACCATTTTGTTGATAAGAATTTAAATTTTATATATCAATGACATTTTATTAAAATTAAAAAGTAATAAAAGAAAGTGATAAAATGATTTATATTTCTGTACATTTTGAAAAATATAAATTACCTCAATTTGTATAAAATTACATATAAAATAAGTATATATTAATATAAAAATTTCTATAAAAATAAATTACTATCTAAAAATTTTCGGAACGAAAACACTGTAAAAATATAGTGACTCAATATTTTCCACCGAAAACACGATAATTATATGTTGTGCCTCAACGGTTAAATTTTGTTAAGTTATATATTCAATGAATATCTTATTACAAGAAGAAAATTTTAGTGACTCAAATCAAATCTCCTATAACTTGTTTACATCTTACAGAATAAAAATTCCTCACTTAGGTCACAAGTTGCCCTAGATCCAGATTCCATGTTGTCACATGTTGCCCCAGATCCAGATTCCCTGTAGTCACATTTTAAAATTGTCAGCAAATGCAAACCGTTTGATGAAAGTCAAACAACTCATATTTTAGCTAAGACACACATTCAATTTTGAGCCACTTGATCTTTATATAACAGCTTTAATTTGCTGACTATGTTCATTGTTGATTTATTGATAGCACGTTTTAATGCAGTTCAAAGGAAAAGTATGAGGAAGAATTGAGTTGAACATCCGTTTGAAGAGTCCTAATTAACGCCAATCGAATTACACTTGATGATGAAAACCCAACTAGAATCAATGTAGACGCTCATCTCAACCCATCCCAATCTGGGATTCCTTAGTTTGATGATCTTCCATGGCAATATCACCACCTGGCAATCTTCTGTCAACTTTATTCTCTCTGACTGATAGGTAATTTGACATTTTCAAGCGTGCAAATGGGTGTAAGAAAAACAGCAACAGCAAAATGCTAGTAAACAAGAAAACAAAGAATCATGATATGATAGATACCACAAAGTAAGCATCAGCAATCAAAGGATAGGTCTTATCACATGCTAACTGACCTCTCAACTTGAACCTTTGCATAAAGATCATTAAACCATTCCTATTCAATTATCATATTATCGAACACATTAGTTCAAAATGCATAGAAAAGTGATAGTGAATTATACTTGATCACCCCTTATACACATATATCATTGTTCCTTATTCTTTTTCATTTTGTCATATCATATATCATCTATCATAACTACATTTCTCACTGTCATCTATTTATCTTTTTGTTTGTCAGTTGTGTATGCATCATTTTCCAAATAAATTGTACACTAGAACTGAGAAATGGGGTAACGGACGTAAAGTACCTGAGGTCCTCAGCAGACAAAGTAATTCAAAAGTCCTAGTATGACAACCTTGTTTACAACTAGTCATGATGCAGGTCTCCAACAAGAAAGAGCATAAATGATACGCCCCTTCCAACCTTGCAACAACCACTGACTATCTTCATCAATTACAAAATCCTTGTGGTAGCTACCCCTCACTTTCTCCATTGCCATCTTCACTGTCTGACGATCAAAAGATTGTTGCACAAACCCGGCCCGCAGAATGCGTGCTTGCCACTGCTTGTAACTCTCTGGCCTCTCCACTCTTTCAGACCCTTCACAAGCTATGACATTCAATGCTTCCCTCCCCAATACCTCTTTCTCTATCAGCATCCTCTCCCAGTCCTCACGAGGCACGATAGTCTCAAGCATATCAAACAGCGATGAATAGTGAAACAATGCCTCCCGGAATCTGGTAACAAAGAAAGGGGCATTGAACGCACCATTCATGATGCCATGAATGAACAATTTTGGGTTGATCCTCCTAATTAGGCTGAGGAAATTATTTCTTGGACTGTCCACTACCACAGATTCATCCAGCAAGTTCTTACCTCTATAGAAACAAGTAACAACAAGGAACTCATCCCTATCAATCTCAAGTTCCTCAAGTTGAATTGTGTCCCATGTTTTCGCTATAGCTTTGTACTCAAATGGAACGTTAAAGGCCTCAGCATAAGCTGTCAAGCGCCGTCCCGTTTCTGTGACTCTTTCTGCTGGCCTGAAACCAGGTTGTGGAAAGTCTATTCCCGTGATCCGTAGCTTTGGTGGTCCTCCTTCTCTCCATGAAAGCCGCTGTATAAAAGTGGGCCATTGGAAACCATAAAGCATGCCAAAATCTATAACATGGACTCTCATTGACTGTACTGAAGATTCCCTTATTGTGATGTTTGAGGTAAAGTTAGAAATTTTCCTAAAGGGGCATGCAGCAAGGTATAGATGATAAGCTTTTAGAAAATTAGCAGCTGATGTTCTTCTACAGACAAGTCCTTTGTAAATTTGGCTGCCAGTACCAGCCAAACGCGCCTCAAGGCCATCTGCAAAGATATGAGCCAACCTCTGACTTCCGTCCCCAAAAGGGGTTGAGTGTTGCCTGATCTGCTTTAGCAACTCATTGGCACTCCTATGGTCATCTGCTGCAACAGCTTGTGCACATAGAACCAGAAGTGTTCTCAAATCGACCACTTCCTTCCTCCCACCTAGTTTCTTACCTCGCCCCTTACCGCTGCTAGATGCTTTCGATTGACTTTTTGGCAGCACTGTTTTCTGTGTCTTGTTCTGCAAAGCCTCGCGGCGAGCCACGTAGTGGTTCTTACCATCCCCAGTGCTATGAAGCAGGAATATATCAGCCATTTCTGACCGCAGAGTTGGTTCAGAATAAATTGCCGCTTGCTTGCTGCTTCTGTTTTCTTCAACATCTGTTTCATCCATTTGAGGATGCTTCCTTCCCTTGGATCCACCACCATAAACACATTCCCCCTCCTCCTTCTCCATTTTAAATGACAATTCATCCTTTTCTACTTTCGGCTCTATTTGTGACAAATTAGCAAGCAGAACACTTGCACAAGGAAGAAACTTACTAGCCTCCTCAACACCCTTCTGAAATTGCCAAATGGATTGACTTTCACTGCTCAAATCAGGAACCTGAACTATACTGTTTAGAGAATCTACCGGCCCTTCTATTACACTATTATAAGGGTTATAAGATGAATGCATAAGGCTATTACCATGAATGTACTCAGGAAAGTTAGCTGAGTTTGGTGGCATAAACTGGTTGGTAAAAATGCTCATTAGATCCCCATTAGTATCAGGAAAATTGCCATAACCTCCAACCCCATCAATGATAAGGCTTGGATTTCTTGGAGAAGGAGGGTATTTTTCACCCAGCACCTCATAGAACGATTTTTCAGCTGCTTGAATATCTAAAGAATCTTGAAGCATGCATGTCTTGTCCTCCATATCGTCCTCCATTAGGATCTGGCTGATGTAACTCAAAACTGCATCGGAAAAATCACAGTCCTCTGGAGAATGATCCTCATGGGTAACAGTGGAGGATGAAGATGTGTTAGCTGGGATTGGATTTGGATCAGAGTGAAGATAGTCAAATTTCCTACTTTGATCAAAGAAGAGATTTTCAAATCTTGGTCGATTATCAAATCTCTGATTCTGAAGAATTGGTGAAGATTGATTTCCCAACTGAACTTCATTTGTAAAACCAGAAAATCCCATCAGGTGTGGATTCATTTTATCCAATTTGCAAGATTCTCATGAACATTCAAACTCAGTCCAAATCAATCTTCGATAACTAATCTACTCTTGAATACTGATCTTTGTCTCAGACTCCTGCAGAAACAAACACCCTTCAAAAACCAGCAGAACCATTAAAATACCACAAAACTATTGAAATCACAAAGCTATGCAGAGAAGAGAAAAAAAAAAACAATTGCAGTTATACAACCAAAATCATCAAACGAGACATAGAAATATAGTCAAGCATGCTACTAGTAGTTCACAGTTAGATGACACCTAGGTCTAAAATTTGAACATGAAGAGAATCAATAACATAAATTGCCACGCGAGGAAAATAAAGCTAAATTAGTGAAGCTAATGGTGAAAGCACAAAAAGAAAGAAAGGAAGACTTTGAAAAGGAAGGCAAACCTTCTAGGCCCACAAGTTAGACAAAAAAGCAGAGAAAGTGCAAGACAGAAAAGGTGCTGAGAATAATGAGAGCTTATGTTATATTTATATGAGTTGTTTGTAATAAAAATAAAAATAAAGTTCGGTGGACCCCACAGCCAAATTCAGGGACGATCACCACCGTACAATTTAGTCACCGTTCTGTATCACTGGACGTGCAGTTTATCCAAGTATGGGTGGAACAGTGTAAGAATTAATGCGTCTTAATCTTTTAAGATAACACTAGAACACTACGCCACTACGCACCCCATGAATTTCTGAGTGTTTACAATAAATTTTTAATGTATTAAAAATAAAGTGTATCTTATTAAAAGTAAAGAAAAATGTATTTATAAATTTAAATTATTGTGTTGATTTTAATATTTAGAAGAAAAATCAAAGCAACATAATATAACAATAAAATAAATAAATAATATATTGATATGATGTACATTATATTATAAGTATGCATGACAATAAATGAAAAATAAATAAAAATAAAATAATATTTTTTTAAATATTTTTTACGGAGTTATTAAAAAGTAATCAAATTAGTTGAACATTGGACAATAATAAAATAAATTCAGCGAGAATGAATATAAAACTTAATGGAAATCTCTTAATAAATATTTATAATTTTACAACTTAAAAATTATTAATTTTAATTTAGTATATATTTTAATTTAGCATACTTATATATGTACGAAAAAATATATAACCATTTTTTTTAACATTATATGAAATATTTATAACATTTTTATTATTACATGCAATAATATGCTTAAACTTTTGATTATATTATAAATTAATTACTTTTTAGATTTGTCCCTTTAAAATATTAATAAATATAAAATATATAATTCACAAGAAAATATTTAATGAAATAAATGTGAATAAAATAAAATAATAAAAATTTTAATTATCAATCTTCCACATTATCATTATTTAATTAACATAAAATTCGACATAATATAAATAAAGAATAATAAAATTAAAAAAAATTCAGAAAACATAATATAATAAAATATAATAGACACAATAAAAATAGGTAATATCCATTACCTACGGGTAAATTCGTGGGTAATTCCATAAATAATTATCTATAGAATTTTATATATATATATATATATATATATATATATATATATATATATATATATATATATATATATGTAAATTATATCCAATTAAAATAATTATGATTGACAGGATTCAAACTCAATACCTTAAAATTAGAAACTGATACTCCAACCACTAAACTACTAAGATTTTTTATTAATAACTTACAAATAAGTTATATTTATTTATAAATAAATATATATTCATGTAAATATATAATTATTTAAATATATAACTATATAAATATATCAAAATAAATAAATATATCAAAATATAAATATATTTGTATTTATATATTTATACGGATAAATATAAATATAATTTATTTTGTAAATTATTATTAAAATATCTTAATAGCTTAGTGGTTGGAGTATCGATCTTTAACTCTAAGGTATTAAGTTCAATTTTTGTCAGTGATAATTCTCTTAATCTAATAATAATTCAAATAATAAATAAAAATATTTTGTTCAAGCGAGTGCATTACCTACGACCAGATTTCTTACGGGAAAAAATATTTTGTTCAAATGAGTGCATTACCTATGGATTAATCTAATAATAATTCAAATAATAAATAAAAATATTTTGGTCAAGCGAGTGCATTACCTACGACCAGATTACATACGGATTTCCTACGGAAAAAAATATTTTGTTCAAACGAGTCATTCAAATAATAAATAAAAATATTTTGTTCAAGCGAGTGCATTACCTACGACCAGATTACATACGGATTTCCTACGGGAAAAAATATTTTGTTCAAACGAGTGCATTACCTATGGATTACAATCTATAGGTAAAAATTCATTGTTCAAGCGAGTGCATTACCTACGGATTACAATCCATAGGTAATTGCCTATGGACAGTAATTTCATAAGTAAATTACCTACGACCAGATTACATACGGATTTCCTATGGGAAAAAATATTTTGTTCAAGTGAGTGCATTACCTACGGATTATAATTTGTAGGTAATTTACCTACGGATAGTATTCTGTAGGTAAATTACCTACGATCAGATTACATACGGATTTTCTACGGAAAAAAATCCGTATGTAAAATGAAATTACCTACGAATTTTTGTCGTAGATAATAGGCTTTTGTTTTGTAGTAAGAGAAAATAAAATAATAATTAAAATTTAACATAAAATAAATAATAAATAGTAAAATCCAGAAAGCATAATATAATAAAACCTAATAGACACACTTAAAATGATACTATTTACTATTGAGATCAATGTAAAATATTTAGAGAAAAAAAAACAACAAAAACTTAATTATTGTTCATCAAATTGGTTTAGATTAAAGAAATATGAAAATGTGAAAGGTGAAAAAAAAAAGGAAAAGTGTGTTTGGTTGAAAAGATTAAAAAAAAAATAAAGAAGTGAAAAGTAAGGAAAAAAAAGTGAGGAGTGTGTAATAGAAAATAAATTGTTTTGTATAATGTGAGAAGAAAAAAGAATCACTTCAAATAATGTTAATATTGTAAGATTTAGATTTAAATATAAAATTAAGATAGGAACAAAGATGGATTATGCACTCTCGTCTCCATCCCTAATTTTTAAAACAAGAAAAAATCTGAACCCGAATACATACCCAGTTAACTAATATCTTTTCTCGTCAACCTTGCAAATTAGTTTTTATATGTATGTTATCCCTACATTTCACTCAATGACTAACACTTGTTGATGCGACAACCATTTGTAAGTATATCCATAGTGTTTCTTTCTTTTATGATAAAGTTAAGAGAGAAATAGTATCATGAGAAATTATTTTTCTAATATATTTGCATCTCACTTTGAAGTGTATTCCTTTTTTGTTTATTAATTGTTTTTCTTAAAAAATTTGGATATAACTAGGTATGACAACAGGGCGAGTGGAGACGGGTTTTGCCTCCTCGATCTACGCTCCCGACTTTTTTAATCATCCTTATTCTTGTCTCGATTTGCATTAGAGTTATAAATTAAGTCTTCATCCCCGTCTCCGTTGGGTTTTGGGTATCTCGCCCCGCCCGTCTCCATTTTCGATCTATATTATTTTTAAAAAGATAATTATATTTATAATAAATTAATTTTACTATGTATTTTTTATATATAAATAAATATTTATAATTATTATTAATTAAATATATATTTTAATTTATTATATTTATCTTAAAATATGTATGTAAAAAAATATTTAATCATTATATATATATATGAATATTTATAATATTATTATTGTTATTATAACACTGTATTCAACACATTTGAACATTTATAGCATTATTATTATTATTATTATTATTATTATTATTATTATTATTATTATACTGTATTCAAATATTTGATTATATATATAAATTAATTTATTAATTTATTTTTAAGGTGATATATAGTTTATAAGGAAATATTTAATAAGTTCATTCTTATTTAATAAGTTCAAAGTAATAAAAAATTAAATCATCAATTCTTTTTAATAATTTAAAATACAATTATTTTATTAAGATAAAATTTGATATATGATAAATAAGAATAATAAGATAAAAAATATGACATAATAAAATCTAATAAATATAAATTATGAATAAAATAATATTAGTTACTACTAAGATTTATGTAAAATATTTAGAAAAAGATAAAAAGGAAAAAAAAATTAACTTTGTGTTTATCAAATTAGTTGAAAAGTAGGCACGACAACGGGGTGGGGCGGGGCGAATTTTGCCTCCCGATCCCCGCCCCGACTTTTTAACCATCCCCGTCCCGCCTCGATCCCGCGGGTTAAAAATTAAGTCTTCATCCCCGTTTCAGCTGGGTTTCGGGTTTCCGCCCCACCCCGTCCCCGATCTATATTATTTAAAAAATTAATTATATTTATAATAAATTAATTTTATTATGTATTTTTATATATAAATAAATATTTATAATTTTATAATTATTATTAATTAAATATACATTTTAATTTATTATATTTATATTAAAATATGTATGTAAAAAAATATTTAATTATTTTTATTTTTATATATACAAAGAGAGAATATTTATAATATTATTATTATTATTATTATACTATTCAAATATTTGAATACTTATAACATTATTATTATAATACTGTATTCAAACATTTAATTATATATATAAGTTAATTCATTTTTAAGTTGTCATTTAAAAATATGAAATATATAGTTTATAAGAAAATATTTAATAAGTTAATTTTTATTTTATTATTTCGAAATAATAAAAGTTTAAATTATCAATTTCTTTTAATCCTTTAAAATACAATTATTTTATTAAGATAAAATTTGATATATGATAAATAAAAATAATGAGATAAAAAAATATGATATAATAAAACCTAATAAATATAAATTATAAATAAAATAATATTAGTTACTACTAGGATTTATGTAAAATATTTAGAAAAAGATAAAGAAGAAAAAAAATTTTACTTTGTGTTCATCA